TATATAGTTTCAAACAAATGTATGAACAATACTTTGAAAAAGAAAGATAAGGTCATTGGTTGTTGTGTTGTTGTTTTTTAAGGAATCCTTTTTACATTGAGAAAAGCGCTAAAAACAAGTTTTAAAAATTTTTTAGAATGCCCATAGGGTAATATTAGGAAATTACTCCTTAGTTGGCTTACCCTTTAATAATCATGAGCAGTTAAGAAAAAAAGAGAATGATATAAGATTTGTCAAAATATGACCATTAGCAGTAAAGATTATCCTTGTGGGTGATTTTTAAAATCACCCTGTACTGTACCTCAATAAGTATAAAAAGGGTATTATAGTGACTTTGTATAGAGGTGTTTGTAGTTGAATTCTATGTAAAATTCTCAACAAAATAATGTACATTTGGACCGTACAGCTCAGATAGACACTCACGCACATAATCACATTCACGCACTTGCACAATTACACACACACAGAAACACACTATTACATTCTCTCTCTCTCTCTAGATTTCTCTCTCACCCCAACCACACACAAAACAAACACATACATACACACCCACACACTCACACCCACACACCACTCCTACCCTTCGCCCACTTTTCATTCAATATCATCCTCTATTTTGAAATAATCCCCCGCGCTAAATAAAAAGATCAGTAGAATCTCTATCTTCTTACGAATCCATGGTTAGTTCAAGAAATAAACCATATATACCATGGATTCGTAAGAAGATAGAGATTCTACTGATCTTTTTATTGTGGCCTAAATAAGGAAAGGGAGGGGGGGTAGCTTATTTAGGCCATATGTGGCCTAAATAAGGTCACCCTTTATAAAAAGGGATCTGAAACATGCACTACATTAAACATTGGACTTTTCTTTTAATTAATGTCCTCTGAAGTCAATCTATGCTCAGCATATTATGTTTAGTTCACTCATCACTATTGTTGTAGCTACTCCTTATCTGCGCCCAAAGTCCCACCAGACGGTTTTACCTCTCAAACCCAGGTGATCATTAACAATCTACGTGTATTAAAGACCCTTTTTTTTAAAACCTCCCATCATAATTAACAATAACAAAAGCAAAGTTGGACTTGTCAACAACAAAAAAGTGACATTGTAGTCATGCCCATAATCATGGGATTGTCAGTTAAACTAAAGGGTTCAAATCTCAGCTCCATCCAACGGAACGGGTCTTTAGGAAAGGCACTTTACACAAATGTTCCCTTTCGACACGGTTCATAGTCATAGATTGACATCAAGTTCAAAGGTCTTGCCTCTTGGACAACAGAAGGAGCATTAAACCTAAACAATTTTGCATTTTAAAAAACAAGCCCAATAGACTGTTGCTTGGTCAACAGAAAGTCTTGCTACAGTGGAATCCTGTTATAACGAGAGGGAGGGGACCGATGCGAAATGTCCGTTATAGCAGGATTCTCGTTATAAAGGGATCCAGTAATAAATTCAAGGGAAATTATAGACAGGGATCAAGTTTGCAAAAATACTGTAAAATATATCTATAATGATTCACGAATGGGATCGTTTCCATTACATAAAACTCAGCTTACTTTAATTGCTCCTTGCTTTCATACTGATACTTTTTTTCTCTCCTCATCTTTTCTTTCTTTTTCCAGTGCCTTGAAATCTCAGTCTCATGTAGGTTGACTAGACATAGTCTAATGCTGCTATGTATAGTATGCTTTACAACTATTCTTTTATTAATCAAAGAGCTATCACATGTGGGACAAGGAATACACATAGACCTAGCAACTAGTGCCTACTTTTCATTAATTAACTCTTTCCGGACGTAGTTTTTTGGGGTCTAGACATAATTAACTAACCTGAGGCTCGATTTGGCTCTGCAGGTTGGTGTAAAAAATAACTTCATAGAAGCATAATCATCACTCCTAACATAACATATGATATATCAAATAAAAAGAAATTGAATGAGGAATACATCCCAATAAAACAAGGATTAATTTTGAACATAATTATGCATATGCATTAGAAGGGTTAGAAATGGCGATGGTGATGAGAAAAATAAATTTTGACGGAAAAAATAACAGTCACCAAACATGTGAAAGCAAATCAGCATAGCTATCTTATCATATACAGGCCAAAAGCATAATCCATAAATTTCTGAATGTGCAGCTTTTTATTTGAAAGCAATATATTCCAATTTTTGTTTGAGTTATGAAATTTATACTGAGTCCGGTTACATCGTTTTGTTGATGCAAGACCGCAAGAACTAAATCAATCGTTTCTCCGCAAACCCACTCTTTGACAAAGTGAAACTAGATGTTTTCGTTTCCTAAATCCTTTCCGAGTTTTTCAATCGCAATAAAAAGTAATTATAAATGATGGATCGTGTTAAAACGAAACAAAACTGAGGCACCTTATCACAGCCGATATACAGTAGTCTCCGCCTAAATGCACGGTGCTCGGGAGGGCTCTTCAGCGTGTGTTTACACGGAGCGTGCATTTACATGAACCTTTGCAAAGGGAGGAAGGGATACAGTCATTTCATATAGCCGTGATATTCTAGTGGCCTCCCTTTGAGGTGAGGGTCACTTTGGTCCGATAATGTGATGACACGTGACTGTTTTGTGAAGGATTCCCCGACTGCGGTTATGAATACAAAGGCGTTGAATGGGGTGGGGTGGGGGGAGGGGGGTAAAAAGACAGCCTCAATGTAATGAATATGCACTATAAAACGTCGGGAACAGCTACGAGGAAACTGTTGGAGATAGTCATAATCACAGAGACGACGGCCCAGCCACATGGCTTTCCAAGCGACCACCCCCTGACCGTAAATTCACGGACGACATCAGAATCATAGATCTACATTCAGAGAAATATCTGTTGTGATTCATAGAACAAGTACGTTATAAGAATATAAGTTCTTCGAGCGCAACTGATTAGGCTTACTTGGCTAATCTTAAACCCTATTGAGGCCTAGATCAATCTAGAGTTTTACTGCATTCACGCGTGTAGCGCATCAGGCCTAGGTCTAACTAAACATTACATGCAGTCACCCAAACACCAGTCAGAAACCTTCTCTCCAAGATGCATTTCCAGTGACCAATAAAAAAGCAGTTCAGTCGCCCAACCCCTCCCCCCGACCAGCCCTAGGCAGAGAACTAGACCTATACTATGTGTCTGTGGAAAGTAGGGTGTGAAAACGCTGTCCATCACTCTCTTTGTTCGGCGCTAGGGGCACTCTCACCCGGTTTTCTTGGCTTGTCTATGCAAGCTGTGCAGGTTGTAGTGAAAATTTCACCTTGTCAAGCTTAACCTGTCAGCGTGTTTCGTGGATCGGAGCATGCGTTTAGAGGGAGTGACCGTGCACTTGCACGTCTAAATTATATAGTTAAAAACCCTTCAGATGACGAAAGCGTACTTTTGAGCGGAGCGTGCGTTTAGGCGGAGACTACTGTATTGGCGATACATTCGCAAGGGGTGTGGACTCGCACCGATATATCAGCGATACGTCAGGAAAGAGTTAATAAGCATTACAAGTCTTGCCAAGGAGACAATCTAAATTAGTGCCAGACAAAGGTCACGCTAGATCGCTGATTGGATATTCGCATCAACACCAAAGAACATCCAGCTTGCCCCCCTCCTCCCTTGCACATAGAGTATGACACATCATAAAATGTGTGGATTACACTGTCAACTTAAGCCATACAGTGGGTCACATAGGTGCAATTTACCATGTGAATTGCTGCATTTGCATTTTTTCTGCTTTCTTATCTGTACGTTTCACAATTATTTTTGTTTAATGGTTGCAACACTGTTATAGCAACCATATATATCTGTCTGCATGCCTTCTAAAAAAAGGAAGTCTTTTTACCACACATTGTGAGAGATCAGACTCTGAGACTAATTATTAGCCTGTTGTAGCCGAAATCCTGTCATGACCAAGACTGATAATGATAAGTGGGGCCCACTGTATAATTCAGCAGGGATGTTTGTTCTTTTTCTTAAACAGAACAGCTGGGCACCAAAACTGTCTGGCATGACATCAAGGTCAAACTTATAAGAAAAACAAACAAAAAAAAAACCCTTCAGAAATTGCAACTCCATTTTATTATTTCGCCCATTCAATTCATCTTACATTTTCATACTGACTATGACGAGACGTCACAACTTTAAAAATGTGTACACCACAATCATCGACTAAAACCAGACATACAAAACATTGACAAAGTTTTTTGGGGTTTTTTTTTTTACATACAAATATCATTCCACTTCCATTCCAGAAACAGCACGAGATAATCTTTTGCACATGGCTTTGATTTGATTATTGTCCATAAATTCTGAAGCCATAATTCCATTGGCCATGGCAATGGTCTGAATGTCACTTTTAGACTTGGCCCACACTCTTCCATTGAGTCCGACCGCAAGCTCAAACTGGAATCTGTGCCCAAGAGATTTGACCAAGGCACACTGGGGACTCAGGAGTCTGCAAAACAAAGCAAATAAGTAATTTTAAGTAACACTTCTACGATGATTCAGCGTAATGTACTATGAACTACTAAATTACAACTACAATGGTTCTTCAGTAGAAATATAAGAGGCATGGGTAGATTCAGAGCAACCAGCTTGGAGGGCCTAAACAGATCAGGATAAAGTAGCTTTTTTGAAAGCACCCGACGATCGCTGATGTCTGTCCTTGATCTGGTACGTGATGATGAAGATGAAAATATTTAAATTAACAAATCACAACTTACAGTATTTTAGTACATTTGCACTAAACTAATGCATTTCAAGGTAGTTTTCCACCACTAGCTGATTAGAGAAAGACAATATACTATACTAAGCCGCCACTTACTTTATGTAATAAAAAATGGGCTCACATCATTGAGATAAAAAGAGAACATACATGAAGTAACAGAAATAAAACAGAGAATTGAAGAATACATCAAGTACCATAGAGTTGGAGAAATAAGACCAAAAAAAAAAAGAGAGAATGCGAAGCTCAAACGTTGAATGCACATCAAAAAATAAATAGCAGGGACTTTTCGCAGACTGAACAAGTTTCACATAAACGTTCTAACTCACAGCATTTTAAACTTTGTCATTTTTGTTTACTTTAATTTACTTTTCCGATCCAGCGGCCATTTGGGTACAGCCCTTCGGTCTATGTAATTTTTGTTAAAGAAGTGGTACTTTTCTTTTAATTTCATGACTTTGTAGGCCTACTCTTTTTATAGGAACATGATCCATAAATCTGCAACATTTGGAAATGGGTGAGAGAAATTATTATGTTTGTGTAAACAAGTGTGAGCATTTAAGGGGGATTGAGCCAGAGTGTGTATTCTTTTGAGTGCAGTATAGCATTACATCTTTTATTAAATATTTTGAGAAAGCTGGTGACAAAACACTGTCAATGTCCTCTAAGAAAGATCAACTTTATTAGAGGAATATATGCGCCAGAATCAAAATCTATTGAAGTTTACCCCAAGACAGCAATATGGGGGTTTTAACCCGTAGCTGCTGCGCGCTTCCGTCCACCGAGCTAATCGTCGTAGCAAAATACCAGTCCACAAAATAAGTCCAAAGCACTTGCTTATCCTGCTTTCTATTGAAAAATAACAGGTCGCTTGTAGCTTGTAAAATTTTTGCTAGCTTGTTTTGATCCGGTTTTTCGCCAAGTACGAGAAAGTTCTGTTGTTTTGTCACGACAAATCATCACAAGAAAGCAAGCACTGAAATCTGCATAGACGAGGAAAAAAAAAACCAGCCACAAAAAACAACAGTGCCACGGCTATTTTTTTGTTTGTTAAAATACATGAATCATGTTTTTAGTTTTGTTTTAAGCATAAGTGGCAAAAAAAGTGAAACTAGACGTAAATCTAGACGTAAATCTAGAAAAACAAGGCGATCGGATTGATTTTAGTGCCTTGAAAACTTCGAAGAAAAGCTAGATGATGTACACTAAAAGATTTACTATAAGTTGCTAGGGGTAAATCGAATGCTGATGAGTCACAGTCGGACGAAGAATAATTATATTGTTTTCTCTGCTCTTTCCGTCCTCTTTCTCTCTAATAAAATTAAAAGAAGATTTTAAGTAAAATCTAAGCGAAATTTCATATTGACAACTAAATAGCTTGGGCACAATGCATGTTTAAGAATAGTATCGAGTTCAGACCGATTGTTACCCATGGTGACACAGGGTGAATTGGGTTAAACAAAAGTTGCAGCAATCCCTTACTTTCTGACTAAGTTGAGAGAGGCGTTGAACAGAAATCCTCCATTGCGTATAACTCCCATTCCACTGCTGCGCCCATAGCTGTCTATGCAGACCACCTCGGGCTCCATGTCTTTATTGGCCACCAACAGCTTGGCATAGACTATGTCGCCAACCTATGGAAATACAACCGTCGAGACTATATAAATTTTTCTAATCACATTATCAAGCATGAGTTATAAATCTGGGTAAGGTAATATACATTTTTCTCACACATCAATATAATATATGTAACACCAATCCATGAAACCTAATTCAAGGCCAGCTTCGAAATATCACTTACAAAATTCCCAAACTTTCACTTTTCCAATGCCACTGCCAACAAGGCCACGAGCAAAAGCTTCTTCTAGATCTATCTCCCACCAAAAATCTAATCCATGGACTGCCACCTTCTGCAAAATGGCAGTGAGCACAAACGCAGCTCCAATATCAACAACAGCAATTTCATAACATACTTGAAGTCTGTTTACTATTTGTATCATGGTGAGGATTTTTTAAAAAGAATTAACGAATTAACTAAAAAAAAAAAAAACCCTAAAAACCAAAGCTAGCTCATCTTACCAGAAATTTTTCGAAGAAACTTTTATAAACAGCCCATAACACAATCTAAAAAAAAAAAAAAACTACACAGATTAAAAAATAATCCTCATTTTTATTTTGTTAAGTTGGAGCGAATGATTATGACAGAAAGTTACTAAAGAACTGGATCTATGTGTATATTGTTTCAATAATAATGATGCCAACCTTCTCTACCTCCTCCATGAAAATAATGTGAAGCCAACACATCTTCAACACTATGATCGAGTCATTCACAAAGTCAGTGAAGAAGACTGATTTACTTTCTTGAGTAAGTTTTGTATCTTTAGTCTTCTCAAGATGAAAACTAGAAAACACAAAAACTATATATTTACAGTGGACTTCACTTGCATTAAAATGACTTGAGTTGATCTTCGGTTAGTTTTGATCTATTTCTTAGGTCTCAGCAGCTCTTCCTCTACATTTTTGTTAAAGTCAAATTATTAAGTTGTGTAGTTCAACTCCAGCATAACGTTCGAGCTGAAAAGCTTTTTTACTCCCGAATGCAAGTATGTAAAAGTTGTATTGATTTTTTTTAAAATGTGTATCATAACGTGCTTCACAGCATTTTTGACATTAGCGATATTTAATATACACGTACAATTATGTAAAGTAAATCAACATGCAATAATAATAGGCCTTCAATATTATCAATGAAACAGTGAGGAGAGCATAAGAGCGGTATGTATTTGAATGAAAGCCACAACGCAATAACCACATCCGTCGTTGCTTCCCCTTCGCTCAAGGCCAAAGCGTATGGTGCACCGTAAGACAATGAGTAATACTGTAAAACCTCGGTATAACATTCTTTGCTGACAACATAATATGCTTGACTGTAACTTTCAGCAGAGAGCTCTCTGGCGTAACTTTTATTTTCTGAAGTCTGGCGCCCCAGTTGGAACTTTTTTTTGCATTTGAAAGCTTTAAAAGCTATTCCAGATCGTTTCTGTTAAAACACTCACTTTGTTATATTCACTTTTTAAGGGATTTTAGTGATCTAAAGTTCATTTATAACTGACCTTGTACATTGTGAGAATAAAGAACATGGCAAAAAGCAATAGTTTTACCATACTCAAGAATACTTGTAACGTAATCAGCTGCAGTAAAAGAGAGAGTTTTTTGCCGAGGCACACTTACATGCATTGCTAGCATTTGCCATCCGTGGATGCTTGCAACTACTTCCTCCCACCCCCCCCCCCTTTTTCTAAATTTCACACACACACATACATGAGCCCGAAGTGATTAAAGGTGTGAATAAATACTGCTCTGAAACTTTTTCTGTTCTCACCATTTTTACCACAGTAGCCTACTAAAATTAAAATCATGAGCAGGGAAAAGTATTTTGTTATGTCCCTCGGTTTTGTGGTCCCAACATTTAAGTTGAACTTCAGATGAGTCGATTTTTTTTCAATCCCTGACAACATAACTCATCCGTAGTTGACTGTACCTTTTATATGTCAGAAAAGTGTCAAATGGACAGTTTGGATTATTTGAAAATATTGGTTGCTTACAACATTAACCTTAAAGAACAGCATACAGTTCAAATAGCTATCAATCATTTGATTTTCTAGATTTTCCCATTTTTATATTATTTAAGAATACAGTGGAAACCTGATATAACATGGATGGTGGGAGTCGAGAAAATATCCTGTTATATCCGATCCCTGTTAAATCAGAAATGCAAGGAAAGTAAGCATTTGTGGACTAATCCAGCTGTAGTTATTCATGGGTAGTTTCCTTTGCACAAGTACCCACAAACAGGGGTTTTGGCACCAACTTTCTCCTTGCCTCCTTAAACGACATCAGAAGAGCTTGGTCCACAGCATCTGCATCCACCGGGTAGTCTCATCTTCTTTCGATCCAGAGCGAACTTTGCATTAATTGGAGTATGCTGCCACTATCTTCTCTCTCCTAGGTTTTGGGCTAGATCGAGGTCTGCAGCACACCGCAGCCCTCTCTCCCTTCACACGCTGCGTGTACTTGTAGTGGCATGGCATGCATGGGCTTGCTCCATCACTGCATTACTCTCTCTCTCTCTTACTTTTTACATTGTTAACGAGCCTTTGTCCCTGCTATAACCGGTTTGGCTCCGATGGGGCCCTGTTATTGCCGGTAACTTTTAATAGAGACAAAGAGTAGGAAAAATCCGGGATTTATAAAATCCCTGTTATTACCAGATCCCTGTTATTACCGGGCCTGTTATATATATATGGTTTCCACTGTATATTGAAAATTAAACAACTTTATAATGCCACACTGACTGAGACTTCTACTGTTCTTTCAAAATATAAACCTATGTAACATCCCCCTCACCTTAACGTCAGGCCGATTCCTCTTGGTTGCTCCTTCAAATGACAGATATGACAAACTGGCCTGTTCACTACCTCCAATGTCCACACGGAAAATATCTCCAGCCTTTTGAGTAATGATGCCAATGACCGAGTCTCCTTTTGATGGCACATACTGAAAATTATAATATTACATATATTAGAATTTGATAACTTAGATGTTACACATATAATATATATATATATATATATATATATAGATGTATTCTATTGAAAATCAGATAGTTAATCAACTGGGTATCATCACTTGCACTTACTCAGATATTGAGATCCACAGGCATCAGGATAGTGTGACTTGGTGACAGGATTCTACAGCTATATCTATACCATTTTTTAATTTTAGATTTATTATAAAAAGGAAGGTGTTATTGGAAGTCATGGTAACTGGCCCATTTGGGAGTCGCCCCAGTTCTCAATGTTTCATGTTTTACCAGTGCTTCTACTACAGACTAATTTTTACATTACAACCTGTACCGCCTTCACTTTGCGACTGCCATTTATTTTACTTTCTACCTTTTTTTCCCATTTTCCTTCAGGTTGCAATGACATTTTCAATCATATTGGTAAAATAAGTCGAAGTGGCTAGCCGTACTTAGATCTAGTTTTGGCCCTATCGACTCGAACCTGTTGAGTACACAGATCTCATTAGATCTAGATCTAGAAGTTATTCAGGTTTAAATAAGGCAAGCAAGTCAGTAAGGCACCTTTTGGTTTTGTCTGAAATACAAATACTTTAGGCTTTCCAAACTAAAAATTTCATTTCCTTTTCAAAAAGGAGGAACTTTCCGCGTGATCGCAACAGAAGCTCATTTTCGCGAGACACCCATTATTATTAGATCTATACTGTTGGACCCTAAAATGCTGAAATAAAAACCATCAATTTATCAAAGCAAGTTTGAGGGTTTGGAAGATAATTTCAAGTAAGAGTCCCTTACCAAATATTTACAATCTTGATTACGTACAGAAAGTGGAGGCGCACTGTGGTCTTGTGCGACTTATTTATGTTTTACCTTCATCATATTCGCCTACTATATAAACATGAATCTTGTTTTGAGCCTGGGAAAAGGCTTAGAACCAGAATATCGACTGTCATGAACCAGTCTGGGTATAATGATTCATATAGATATAATAAACGTGAAAGACAAAATTAATGCTCAAACTCAAAGTAGAGTAATAATTTTAATAGCTCAAGTAAACCTATTCAGTGGGAGAGGTGTAAGAACTGCTGGAGGGCAAGATACAGTGACACTGAAAATCGGTGAATCTTGAACAAAAAGCTAAAATATAGACATAATTTACTGTCACTCATCCAATGAAACGTGAACACTTAGGCCCCTGCACTAAGTTCATTAACACGTTTACAAGTCACAAGACAAGTAGTATGACGGATCCCGATTATACACAAGGCATGCACAAATGCGCACTTTACTTTGCAGAGAGCTGTAGTAGTAATCAAAATTCGAAATATTACAATTTGCTTCCAATTTCTTTTCTTTTTTTGTCTTCTGGTGTTGCGTCCATCCCTCCCCCCGTGTGCATCTTTTTAAAAAAATCAATAATCTCCCCCTATTCCGGAGTCCTGTACTTCACAGCGCTCAGAACGCGCCCAGGTTCATTGACTGGTCACAATGATGAGCCCGACAAGACCGTTCAAGACGCTTGTATAACTTTCTTTTCTTTTTTTTTTTTTTTCCCCCACAAGCGACAGCACAGTGACGAACATTATTTTCATGATTACACCTCGTTTGTAATGCAGAACCTGCATGTTACAAATGTTGTGTATTCAGACTTTTACAGACAAATTTCTGAGATCTTGATTTTCCGGTCGAGCCTCGGTGTCACATACAATTCCATAGCCGCCTGTTCGCGTGAAACGTACTCTCACACCGGGAAAAGCAGAATTAACATCACAATCGCGACCGACAAAAATGAACTTCTAAGACGTTTTCAGATTTGGTTTTCAAATTATATTCGAGATCTTTTAAGTATTTTCCCGCTTCTCTCTGATTTTTTTTCAAATTCCCGGGTAATTCCCGAGGCCTGGCAGTCACTCCGCTCCCAGCAACTCTCTTTCTGATTGACCTGCTTTCGCAGTAGCGGAGTTTAGCGGACGACATGGCGGTAGCGGAAATCCGCTAAAGACCCATGCATAATGAACGGCTAGCCTGACAGTCTAGCCGTACTTATCTTAGGCCCTATTAACATAAGAAAACAGGAAGTTTAATAAAATACATAAATGCAGTATTTTGGCACCTCTGGTTTCTTCTCAAATACAAATAGCCTACTTTAGGTACTGCAAACTAAAAATTTATACAATTCAGTAGGCCTTTTTTATGGTCAGTCTAGCCATCATGTGGCTAGCCTAACAGTCTAGCCGTCATTAAGTACAGTACGGCAAGCGGTGATCTTATACTTTAGCACGTTAAATTCCCAAAGTCTACTACTAATCCCCGACTCAGACCTTCACAACTTTGAACTGGGCCTAAAAATGCGCAAACTACTGTAATTTTGTCATGAACAGATCGTATTACAGCGGTTTTCGGTCTTCCATCATGATTTTGGAAGCCATTATAGAGTATTCTTGATGATATAGAATTTAGATCCAGATCTAATATAAATAGTGGTCGCTCGTTTCGGAAGTCCAATTGAAGAATTTAACGTGCTAAACTCACTTTAGGCTAAAGATCACCCAGCTAGCCTCTTCCAAAATAAGTCATAAAAACGCCTATAAAACCAAGTGAGAATTATACTAGATCCTGATCTAGTCAACATGGCGGCGGGACGGCAAATCCCAGTCAGCCCAGAGCCTAGAGCTAGCCTTACTACTGGCTTACACTCAACTTACTGTACTGTACTGCACTGTACTGTCTACGGATGTGACTGAAAGAAAACCTTAAATAACGGAACTTACACGTTTCTGGTGACAGTCAATCCAGTAAATACCGGGTTCTCTGAATCTTAATATTCCAGGCTTTGATATCTTAATTCTGTTTCCATCATCAATAAGCCCAGGACCCAAAACGATCTTTTTAACACTTTCGGAGACCTGGAGGTCTTCCAAAACATCTCCCGGCATGAACACATTTCCCACACGCTTGTCCGCCATGTTGTAAACAAAGTCGTCTTTCTCGGCGCCGGTCCGTTCAAGGATATTGTAAAGTAAGCTATGCTCAGGATTTAGGCCTGTTAGCAGAGAGTATTTAATTGTAAACGAAAATTATGTTTATAGTCCAAAAATAAAAGTCAAAGTTTCAGTTAATAGAAGGATTTGATACCCCATGAATTTTCTTTAAATGCTTGAGATGGGCTTGGACCATTAACCCCCCCCCTCCCTCCACACACACACACACACACACACACACACACACACACACACACATACACACACACACACACCACACACACACACACACACACACACACACACACACACACACACACACACACATACACACACACACACACACACACACACACAACTGGGAGCATTCTGATTATGAGTATTATTAAATTAGTATTATGAGGATGAGTGCAAATGTCATAAACATTCATTCAAATCATGTAGGCCTATAATTTAGTTTTAACATGCTAACAAAATATTATGTGTCATTTTACAGTAGGCCTAGTAAACTAAGCTCTCTGACGATCAGCAAAATATTTCGCTGGTAATATATTCAGTTAGCTAGTATCTTGAAAAATTATGTTTTTGTGTTTGTTATGAGAAGGTGTATTTCCATCACGTATTGAGCACAGGTCTACCACCTCCCAATAAATGTACAGAGATATATTTTCACCTCTTTATTTAAATAATGTTTCTAGTAAGATTAATTAAATATGCATTTTTCGAGAGAGCTGATACATGCCGATCTTGTTTTAAAAGATGCATATTAGCTCGTACAGCTAGGCTAAAGGAATATTATTGAAAAATTCGAAAGTAAGTACTAGAAGCATATAGAGTGTGAAACAGTTTATAATCTTCGTCCCTATCTCATCAGCTCTTCCATCTCTGTACTTATCCTGTTCCTGTTGATACTCTTCTGAGTCGGACCAGTATTATTTATTCTCTCCCCCATCCCCACCCCCCACCCCGGTCTCTCTCTCTCTCTCTCTCTCTCTCTCTCTCTCTCTCTCTCTCTCTCTCTCTCTCTCTCTCTATCTCTATCTATCTATCTATCTATCTATCTATCTATCTATCTATCTATCTCTCTCTCTCTCATTCCTCAGAAATAAATAAGCGGGTAAAAATATACCCTGCTCTCGAAAATCTTACTCAGTCAGTGATGACTTGAAAACTTAGGTTCAAAATGGGACGTAACCCACACGGCATGTTAGAACTTCTGAACTTTTGTATTTAAGAATACTTTCCCTTGAATTGCTATAGCAACTCAGGAAGTAAATACTAACAAGTAGCTCCAGCCTCTGGAAAAAGGAGCAGTCCCAGCTCAGATTATGTCCAACACTTTGTTTATGGGCTTGGGGATTTTGTAAAACTGTTTTATTATCGCACGCAGGTTTAAAGAAAACAGCTCGTTCCTGTTCGCTTACCTGTGTATTTTGTCAGTGAAAATAGTCGCCGTTTGCTCGACCATGCCGTTCTTACACGAACCAAAGTCCCGCGAGCCATTGTGGAAAGAATGGGACTACCTGGCTCAAAAGAAAGGAGTGAGAAACACTGTCTATTCTGTAAATGGAGATGAATTTACGGGAGAGTGGCTTGACAACAAAAAAGATGGTTAGTAATGCTTTTAATATTTGTTTGATATCCTGAAATTTGCAAGCAAGCGCACATACGATCTACTACGGCGATTAATTAGATCTAGTAATCGTGAAAATGAAATATCATAATAAAATTAATTAATGGTGATATATTGTATGATGTTGATAAACAGATTAACATGCTTAAGGAACAACTATAATAGACCTTGACGCCCCTGTTCAATAAATGCACATAAAAGGGCCATTTGACTGTACAATAATAATCGCAGTAGAGATATTCGATGTAGCCTAAATTATATTCCTTTTGTTTTCCCGGAGATAAATATAAAAACTTGCTGTCATTTTTATTTTTAGAAAAAGCAGAAACATCTTTTTGGTCTATTTTGTTAAAATGATCAAGCTTTGTATTTACACATGCGATCAGTCACTTCTACAACGAGACTTTGAAAGAAAAATTGAAAGTTTTGCCTCGTGCATTTGTATGCCTTTACTCTTTAATTAAAAGGATAACTTCGACGGCTGTCATGAGTTGATGAAGTGACCCTGTTGATAATGTTTGATTATCCAATTGAAGCTGTTACACAGAACGTTATATATTTTTGAACCAAAAAGATCATATTTTTAATGCTTTTAATTTGTTTATACTATACTACAGGCAAAGGCACCCAAAAATGGAAAAAGACCAACAAAGTGTATGATGGAGACTGGAAGAAAGGAAAAAGAAGTGGATTTGGCACACTGACACATTCGGATGGCAAAGGAGGCTTTACAAAGGAATACTCTGGAGGCTGGAAAAATGACAAAAAGCATGTAAGTTCCTTTGTTGTTCAGTCAAGCAAATGATTTTGTCCTGGCAAGTTTTATAACTAAGTTACATTTGTTGGATTTTTCTGTTTTAACTGTCATACATGATTCAGATGGTGGTAATTTAAAATGTGGGGTGCAAGTACTACAACTGATTTTTTAAAAAAATAATTTTAATTGAGTTCAAGTGTTCAGTATTCTGTCCGATTATTCTTTTCAGATTTAGAGCACAGAACTACAGTGTCATCTCATGCTGTTTGAAGCTGAATTTTGACCTTGTTGTTATGTGTGATGTTGCGTATTGCAGTACTGTTGAGAATGAAAAGTTTAAGATTTTCAAGATGTAAAAAAAAATTCCCACCTGTAAGCTCGTTACTTATAGATGTGCTTGGATTTTTATTTTCCAGACAACTCAGTTCTAAAACTTTATATTTTTTCAAAATAAGAAAGAGCTGTAATTGTGAAATGAACGCTCTGATCGTATGGCCAGCCAAGAAAAGAGTTCTTTCGAATCGTTGTTTAATGCATGTGAGGGTGAGGGGTTGCATTGATTGACTGTGCTTATTACACCTATGCGTTAGGCTAAGGGTGGAAGCAAAGGAAACGTTCAAACATTTTTGTTTTTAAATGGTCAAACAGTGATCCTATGAAATGCAAACACTGACGGCAATGGATAAGTAGGACAGATGCATGCCATTTTCGGAGAGGCCATATAGCACCTGAGAGGTGTGAAGTTTTTACCACTGCTCCTGACCGGACAAGCGACCCTTGATCCCTCTGGCTGGGCCTCTGAAACCCCAGTCTAAAATTGAAAATGTCTAAGACAGGATTTTTTTTGGACTTCCTCCCAATTTCATCTTTCACAGGTTCGACTGAATTTGTCATTTGTTTATTCCACAGCTATTTCCCTTTTCCGTTCTCATTTTTATTGTGGTCTTAGATAACAAAAATTTTTCAGGTTGGAGCGTTCTCGACAAGCTAGTGCTAATGAAACAAGTTTTATTGCATCAATAATTCCTATCTTTTTGTTTGCAATTCCAGGGCTATGGAACAGAGTTCTACTCAGAGACTGAGTTTTATGAAGGTGAATGGTATGCAGGAAAAAGATCCGGCTGGGGACGAATGTATTACGAAGACGGGACCATTTATGAAGGGGAGTGGTACGATGATCAGCGGAGTGGACAGGGCATGCTTCGGTTAAGTAAGTACCTTCATCCACTATCTTTTATAAGTGGGACTGTTGATAGCATCCACATTTTTAAAAAACAACAACAAAAAACAATATGAGAACTCTGACAGACCTCCTTTAAATGTACTCAATATCATTAATGTCCTTTGGGTGTAGATGTTGACAATGAATTTCATCATTATCGTTTGTTTCATCATTGGGGTGGTCATAAAGGCTGTTGCTTGCCCCTGTTTTCATTGACTTATCATACCTCCAAGGTTTTGGTAGCTGCCTAGGCTTGTGGTTCTTCAAAATAATTGGAAAACCAGTTGTTGCTTTGCATTGTGTAGACTCGGACTACCAGACTATGACAAATCAGAAACTTGAAAAATCAAATCATGCAAACTATAGAAACATTCCAGTCTTCAAAAACTTTGATTCTAATTTTCCTATCTTTTGGAGCTGGCTTTAAAGACATTCCCCCCATGTTTTTTCTCTTGCCTGACAAAATTGTTACTTTCTTTCAGGCCTTCCATACTTTTTCAGTTGTTCTCAGAATAATTTGATTTTGTTGTTATAAAGTGCTCTCAAATCTGAACTGGGTTTCTTACTGTTTTTATAATTACATGAATGTAAATATATAGATGTTTTACACCCCCTATAAACACTATTTATGCCTTTAAGGATGCAAGCTTTTTCAACTCTGACTGTCTTGGCCAAGAATCAAACCCACATTTTCTGTGTGCAGAGGCAAAGAGCCTTACCGCTTTGACCACTGACCATAGTCTGTTATTGTTTACTTCTGCTAGATTGTGTGTTTTTATAATTGTTGCATAAAAGAGTATATCTTACTAATGGGACTCTTTTTACTTCCTTTTCAGCAAATGAAAACCGTTATGAGGGCTCTTGGAAAGAAGACAAAAAGAATGGGCCAGGAAAGTTCTATTATTTGGATTCAGGTCAAGTCTTTGAAGGCGTCTGGAAGGACGACGTCCCAAAATGTGGCACGATGAGAGACTTTGGCAGGGACAATGCCCCAGATCCAACGCAGTATGCAATTCCTTCCGTAAGTGCATAAGCTGGTAAAAATTTTGTGTGTATTTTTTTTTGGGGGGGGAGGGGGCTATCATAAGTGACAGGAAAAGACCAAGATAATGGTTATTATTTTGAAAGCATCTTAGTAGGGCACTGAGTGACAAATTATGACTCCCAATGTCCGTTTCAGAGCTTGTACTTGAAGAATTCTACCGCAGAATCTGTCAAAGAATATAGGGCTTAAATTTGAATTGCTTGATGCTCACAAACGAATCAAATCTCAGATTATGTAACTGAAAAACCTACAACAGCACGAAAATATGTCTTATGGAAATTTGCTCTCTCAGATTATTAACTCACTCAAGCCTGAGCTATTTTTCACTCTACAATAATTTCAGCCTGACAGTTTTGGGGTATATTGAATCATTAACCACAAAAAGACTGTGAAAGCTGTCATAATTTTTTTTTTTTTATGCTTCAAAAGAAAGAAAGAAATTCTCTCACAGAAAAAGAAAACTACATCTAGTTTGTACAAATAGTTTTAGTGAAACGAAACAAGTTAACCAACTGTTGGCTCGCCTCTCACTGTAGCTTATAACCGAAAACACCGGATATATCGATCGGAAAAGCGCTTCCCATAAATACACAAGATTTGGCCACCGGCCGGCGACACATTCCATAAATACACGGGAATAGGATCAAGTGAGTTATGGTTTCACATATTTAAATGAAACACTTTTTCTTTTCTCTTGTCTTTCATTTCTGAGACTAGAGAAATTTTAACTTAATAAAAACATGTCTCCCTATAGATGGATATCAAACATTTGTAGAACATTTTTTCTGAGTTTATAAAGTGTACATGCAATAATAAACATAAGTTGAACTCTGGTTGTTTATTGGTTGTTGTTTTTTTTAATTTCCTTTCAGATTGAGCTCGCTAATGCTGAGGGTGTTGTAGCTGAGGCAGAGGACCAGTTTTTACAAGACCAAGAGTAACTCTGATCGAGTGGAATGTCGTCTTGTTTTGAGAAGCGGGTCAGATTTACCATAATCTTTTTGGATAGATACATACATTTTCCTGACCAGGTACACGCTTCCTCATCGAGTATTTTGGTACTGTTGCTCCAGGTCATCATCAGTTACCATCCGGTCAGAAACGTCTGTCTCAGATTCCGAACTCAGTTTTCAAAACAGTATTATTACAGGATCTGGTTTTGTTTTCTGTCATTTAAAGCTAACATTTAAAAACACTGTCATATACTGACTGACATCAGAGTTGTTATTGAAAGCATTGCTAGGAACTTCTCATTTCTGAAAAAGTGAAATGTACCACCGCTCAGTTTTCAAGTCAATGTTTTCCATATTTTACCCATCTGTGATTACTTTTGCCAAAATGAAATGCCATCATCACATTTGATGTATAAATGAACGAGCGACTGTCATATTATTGTTTTTGTTGTTATCTTATTGTGTATGGCACAGACGGTGTAATACAAGTTTTCAGTCTCACATTTAACAAGGTTGCGTCTTGTATTTGATGCTTTTCAAGAGATGTACCTGTGTATGTATATATATATTGAAAGAGTGGTAATGTTTTTTCTTTCCTCTTTTTGAATTAGAAAATTGTGAAGCCAAGAGAAGCAGCTGATCATTCTTGTGTGTGTATGTAGTATGGGTTGTTTTTTTATGTTGTTGTTTGTTTGTTTTTGGGGGGGTGTGTGTATGTGTGTGTGTGTGTGTGTGTGTGTGTGTGTGTGTGTGTGTGTGTGTGTGTGTGTGTGTGTGTTGCATTGGTAGAGAAGAGATGAGGTATAATAAGTATGTTTGTGTAAGTTGTAAAAGCATTGTGAGCATGCTGCAAAATGAGTATTTGATTTAGACAGAGAGTACTTGAACAGAAATAAGATTAACCATGTGTAACATGGAATGAACAACTGAAACATTTTGTTGAGCGTTTGAGTGAGTACCTAACTTGCAGTACAGATCTGTAAGATATATGTATATGTTATTCTGTTGGTATATGTCTTAACTGTAAATGAAGCAATATTGGTAAATGCTTGAATTGGTATTCTTTATGAATGAAAGAAAAAATAATAGCTGATATTTTTCTGTATGAATTCTGTCAGTTAAGTCCCCCTATTTTGCTTTAAAGAAGAGATTTTTTTAAAAAGTACTTTCAGGGATAAGGTCATCCTAAAAGTATTGTGCATAATAAATCTCCATCAACATTATCTTTACATTGTTATGTTGATTACTTCATCTTTTGGTCTGTTGATGGAAAGCTTAAGGTTTGCTCCTTCTACCTTTTTTTCTGAATTACTTTTGCCTTTATCTACCTTGGGTATAACATGGTGCTTGTCTTGTCACTGTACTGCTAAATATAACTCTTCACACTCACAAGTTTTTTTTCTGGGCGAAAGTTTTCCTGTTTCTCACACATAGTTTTGCTCAATGTTTGTCTGTGTGTTGTCTCTTTTCATATTTTAGTCGATATATTCTTTTCAACACCTGGTAGATTTTTCTATATCGAGACCTCCGAATTTTCATAAATTTGTAACAAATTTATTTGTATTGAAAGTACCGACATCTGTGATGTAGAAGTTCTGTTCTATACCGCTTCATGCAGAAGATGTGAGTTTTAGTTCGGAATGGAGAAGTGATCTCACTCTCTGTTTGTTTTCTGAGATGCTGTAATCCCACTTAGCTGGGGTTAGCCCTGACGGGTGTGAGAGATAAAATGTCTCCTTAGTGATTTAAATTAGAACCTATGTCAGTATCCTATAAAATATTTACAGTTACAATCATTACAATTTTATGGGTGGCAGGAAAAGTGTAGGTACTATCTTGTTACCCTGTCAGCGGGAGTGAAATCTGAATGCAGGAGACTATAATTATTTCAGTGTCCTCATTAATCTGCACAGATATTGTCAGGCATTTTGGAGAAATTATTAATAAGAGAGACGAATATGTGAGAGAGCTATAGAACACAGCCGAGACCTGGACATCCTGTTCATAGATCTGGATACGGCATTTGGCCGGGTCGACAAAGACAGGCTATAGCAGTTTTTGAGAGAATATGGAGTGAAAGATCGACTTCTTTGTATCATCAATGCTCTATGCGAAAATCTTAATAGTCTGAGTTGTGGAAGAACTAGCGAGGGAAACACTGACTACTTCAAAGTGACATTAGGTGCCAGACAAGGCAGGGTCGTATCACCATTACTCTACAGAGTCTACACGGACAAGATGACACAAGAAGCAAACGACAACTCAGAACAACTCAACGAACTGCTCTCCGCTGATGACCAGAGCCTCATACACAAAGACCATGACAGCCTCCAAGAGCATATAACTTAATTGAACAATTGAACCAGGCATGTGAGAAATAGAGAATGAAAATGAGTACATTGTACAACTAAGACAGAAGTAATGAAGGTCTCCAGAAACAAAACCTTATTAAATAGCACACAACTGAAACAAGTACACGAATTCAAATGCCTTGGAATTGAAGCATATTCACACCAGACGGGAAAATGAACAGGGAAATTTTAAACACAAGTTAAAAAGACGAATGCGGTTACATACCCACCAGCACCCATCCTCTCTTATCAAACGTCCAAAAGGGACATTTAAAGAACCAACTCATCAGATCAATCTTAACACCAACTCTCTGCTACCAGTGCCAGTACCAAACCTGGACGCGCAACAAAGCTCAGCAAAATAGAATAAGAGCATGCGAAATAAAATGTCTTTGAAAAATTTTTAACATCACAAGAAGAGACAGAAAAAGAAACGAAGGCATCAGTCATCAAGTAGACGTCGAATCGATTATGAAATACTTCGAGAGCCAACCAATAACTTATTAGGTGATTTTGACGTGTAAAGAGGATGGTGCCACAACAGCCAG